CGTAATAACCTTATATTATTTCAATCAGAAGCATCGACATTTGCCTTTATTATTTAAAGATTAGTATTAACACGCGTGTGAACGAGTGCACTTGACTATCACGTGACAGATAAGCGGCCACTTCAATTCATGTAAATAAGTAATATCGCGGGGCAGGGGCAGACCAGAAAACCCGTCCATGCCGAACCACGTCGTACAGACATTGGGGCAACCACCCTCCCAACAGGTCGTACAGATGGCATAACATCAGTTTCGCACAAAGTACATGTTCTTTGATTTAACATAGTATTTATCTTGTTTTGTATTCGGTGTTATTTGCTGTATTTCCCCATGTCAACGGCAGTTGCTATGAGTTGATAACTATGCTTAGGTACGCACATGATTGCAATCCAACTAACCAATCAACTGAGCGGTTGGTAAACTTCTATTACTTTAATATGTCCATGACAGGAGAGAGTTTGATTAAAAGTTGTATACATTATTTGAAACGTGAACACTGAGGGCGTACTCGCCACAATTGACGCATTCATGTCATATAATAGTTACAAACCATCCGAAGAGTTAAATTTTATTGTTCAGTTATTTACCAGTCCCCAGGTTCTTATCCAAATGAAGATAATGTTATCTCCCTTGCCTCAATTCTGCCGAGACAATATTAATACTGCTGTCATATCGCTCGCACAGACACCCATCATCGGCGTTGTCGGAATTCCCACGGGTGACGCTTGTATTGACAAAATATCAAGCGTATTTTCACATTGCTATCAACAAGCGTGGTTTCTAAAACAATACCAGTGTCGCTTTTAGCAAGTATGTGGTATATGGGAAGCTGACAGTGTATAGCACCACGTGTACTAATATAATTCGTAAAACATTATCACCTGAGATAAATCAGCCTGTAGAGCGTTTCACCACGATGTGGAGGTGTTAAAATCACTTTTGTATTTTTATTCAATGTATTTTCGGTAAACCTGTGCGGTTGTATTGAGTCACTGTTCTATCATAGGACGTGTTTTTAGTCATGTGATGTATCAATTTGGATCACATGATTCACCTTATAAAAAAAACATGTTACTTTATACGAGACATACTACCTGAGTTCACTTGTTTGCTCTCTGAGCTTGGCCGTGTTGCTAAAGCTCAGGGACAGTCATTGTACTCTATGCTATGTATATGCTTGGTCTTCCCGATGTCACCATCCGAATAAAGATCACCAGCTCATACCACCCTCCGTCTACACCCTTAATCATTAACAGACACTGCATGGTTTGTATCGCGTTGATACGATGACGATTATTGCGCTAGGGTTGGGTGGGATGGGGATTGAAGATAACAAAACCCAACAGTCTGAATATATTTAGGAATGGAAACAGAACAGATGAAATACAAAACTGGAGTCGCCTCGTGACGTATTGCTAATTAATTATTGTAATTTTCCAAGCGATAAATCAATTTTTAATCATGTGATGTGCGAACATTTCTACTACCTATGTGGCGATATTATCTCACTCGTCCCACGATTTGCTTGTTGTGACATGGTATGACGTCATTACTTTCAAACATCGGCATCACAGAAAGGTTCACATTGATATTATAAAAAATCCGACCCTGCACAGGTCACGTATCCTGCTGATTTGATTAATTGAGAATGTGAAATTCTACATGTTTGATATCATCGATTTCGTGCCCGAAACTTGGCCTAACACAATAATTCCTTTCCATTCTGTCTTGGTGTTTCAGACTAGAATGGGTTTAGACGTTATAACTGTTATATTATAATTGTTAAATGTCTTTGACCGTAAACTGTTTGTTTTCATTAAAAACCACGAACATTTTATTAAATTTCAGACAAGAGTAATGAGTATATTTTTATCCGTGCATCAAGTAACATGTTCAAATAAATTGACCGAAAGCAAATTAACACAATAAATCTTCGAATCGACACTGATATTATTATTACTATCGCAGTATTAGCAGTATGGGGCTGTGCCTGTCGTTTTCACGTAGAAGCTGCCTTCTGGTGATTTCGAAGTATGGAATCCCATTTCATTACAGCCGTTCAGGCCGCCACACTCATCGCATTCTTCACCGGGTTCACATGGGTATGCTTTGAACTCACAGTCATGTATGGACGCAGCGTACAGTTCGTGTGCTCTACCATGGTCGCATATCTCTGAAAACAATTGTATTATTAGTATTTGATTTCAAATTCATCATGATCATATTTTCTTTTGTCATTTACAATACCAGGCACTACAATGCTGATCATCAATTCACACAATGGTTGCTAAGCAACATATACCCTCCCAGACAATGCAAAGATATAGTATCTAGCAATTACACAAATCAATCACGATTTCCAACAAAGATCTTACCTCCTCCGTACGGGTGGACATAATCGTCACTATATTGAACCGATTCCTCCCCGCTGCACCCTGGTTGATTTTTACCACCATTCGGATAATAATCCACATGTCCACACTAGAAAAATCCATTAAAGAAAGATGTCACTGTGAATTTACTCACATACATAATTGTACTAATCGTGAAAGACTAGTTGTTGTAGTGATGACGTGGTGTACGCTGGTTTCAAGATATTTTACAAAACTTCTCCCCTGGAGAGCCCTCGTTTGCGTTTACGATCGTACAACAATGAATTTACATTTAAGTTTATCTTTGTCACTTTGTTTTACGCAATGAATTATTTTGATTCTATAAATGCCAGTTCGCCAGATTTTACTCAACTCAACAGTGTTTTGTTCGTTCGTCCAGTATTTCGGAAGTGATGTAAATGTAAGCATATGTCAAAAGTTAGCCCATTGAAAAGTATGCCCCAAAGAATAAACTCTACTGAGGTTACATTATGTTTTAACATAACACTAAGCAAGTCCCGAAATTATATAAAATACAACAATTACATGTGCACGTTATTCATCAGAATGACCTCGAACAAATGTCATTAACTGCCAAACCTTCCACCACACCAGATCATCAGTATACTACCGACGTTCGTCTGTCCATCCCCTACTTCCACCAGCCCTGACTACCGGGAAACAACCCCCTCTTAATTCCACCATTATCGACCATCAGAGCACAGCTCCCACTTTCGCAAGTCCTGACTACCAGGGAACAACCCACACTACCATCTGTCCTGACCACCGGTGAACAACCCACCCCCACCGCTTTTACCAGTATCGGCCACCAGAGCACAAAACAACATCTCCACCGAACAGCAACATACTATTATGATGTACTAATGTATTATAATGGCAACGAGATATGTTAATACAAAGACACGTCATAAAACAGTGACCATAAGTAACTATGAAGGTGTGGGTTGGGCGCTGGTTTGGCGGATATACACAGACAAATCATCCTAATGTCTCCAATAATCGATCCTTTATTACAAACAACCAAACAACATACGAATGGTGTTGGAACGAGTTAAGCTCTAACATAAATAAAACAATAACTTGCTGGATATTACATTCAATGACTTCTTTTCAACGCAGTGAACAACTTCAAACTAAGACATATATGAGCGTAGACGAAGTCATGAACAAAGTTTTTGTACGTGAAGTTTCACCAATACATAAATTAGTGAATACACGAAATTCTTGATATCAACATACTATTAAGCGAAATAATAAAAAGGTCTAATAAACTATATAAATCATCACTATCAGAATTAGCAGTTTTTATGACGTCATAACTTTACATTATCACTTTTGTCAGACTACAAAATACCCATCTATACACATACCGTTGACGGCTAGAGAAATATGAATTACAAAAAATGGCTGCCATAATCACACGATATATTCGCAAGTAAATTCTTTTCAACAAAAAACATTATCTTACCATAGACCGTCCTTTTTGATCAATATGGCATTGTGGGGGATATATTATTGTTTAAATAATTTGGTGAGGGTCCCACAAATAGCCCAGAAAAAATCTTATTGAGTTTGTGACACTGTTACGAATAAGTATATAAATGAATAAATAATTCAAAATTAACAGCAAAGATAAATCATAAAAATATTAATTTGACGGAGCGAACTGATATGGTAAAATGAAACAAGTAGTAAATAAAAAGGCGACTGAATGAAATGGGCGTACGATATAAATTACGACGAGGTCAAAGTAGTATCAATTAGTTTCGATGATTCTTGAATACGTTAGTTGCATATAAAGCCAGACACAGTACAACAGTTTCTACTTCAATGTTACGCAGATCATTTTTTTCTGCCCAATTACTTTTCTCCTAGTAATTTAAAGAGGGCAAATGTAACATTTGTGTGGTTGCACGCGATTCTCTTGACATTTATGAATCCGATAGTTAATAGGTTATTTACGATCTATTTTCACTGGGGAATACTTGTATGCAGTTTGGTGACTAAATTTACCTAAAATAAACTTGAATTTCGAAGATTCATTATTATTTCAAAGTAACTAATGTGTCAGGGAATCGCACACAATCTACATTTATGATCATTCAAAAAAAAGAAATTGTGGTAAAAATGACGCTACAAATAAGGTACTAGAGTTATTTTTAATCTTATTTATTAGGAGCGAGTACGAACATTTGACTAGCTATTGCGACAACCTTTATACGTATTTTGCCAAGTCTTCACTCAGTGAATCATGATATACTTGTTTATAAATTAAATAGTTAAGGTTTTTCGTGGTATTGTTATTAAGCTCGTCGACTCGTACTCGGTAAACAGTGGCATTGTTCAGATCGATACACGGTTACGTCTATAAGCGCTCAATTGGGTTGATTGTTACAAGAGACATTGATCAAATGCCGCGTGTTGTAAATTGTGGCTGATGGGTGTTAGCATCAACAAGTTCAACGCTATTTTACTTCACAGAAATATAAGTCATTACTTAACTTCAATTATTGTACCTCAGGTATCGCCGTGCATAATTTAGTTTCAGTAAAGGGCATAAATAGGATTACTATCATAATAAACATCATTGTTCTGTTTAGGCTATAATTTCAGAAGACAACATAAATAAGTTGATATAATAGTGATTGGTATTGATAATGTTTTGTATTGTTGACCTACGGTTGTTTGATTTTGTTGCAAGTAGTTATAGTCTGTAAGTGAGGTAATCATACTGATGTGCAAGTGGTATTTGTGTTATTAACCTAATACTTTATGTAAAATACTCACACCTTCCAAAATTGCCCGTTATTTTCCAATCGCCAGTAGAATGCAATTCATGCAATGCATGCAATGGT